TTTTTTGCGGAACTGGGGATTGAACTCATATCCTTGCGTTTGCCAGTCAAGCGCTTATCCTACTGAGCCATCTCCCCGGCCCCTCATGTGTGTGTACTTTTAATGGAGGGTCTACATGCTCTACAGGGTCTCACTACACAGATCGAACTCGTAGTGATTCCCCTGTTTTCAGCCTCCCAAGCACTGGGATTACAGGCGCACGCCACCATGCCCAGTCTCAATCGCCCACTCAGAGTGCCCCGGGATTGAACCCCTAGCCCCTGGTCTGCCTAAGCAGGCGCTTCAGTCTGCTGAGCTATCTGGCTGGCCCGAGAGAATATTATTTCTTTCTACCCTCCCAATGGCCCCACGGGAAAATGTAGTGTTGAACGTAGATGCACAAGAAGGCTAGATCCGAGCGGGGGCTCAATGGTCAAAGCCCGCTGCTGTTGCAGCTGGAGCCCTCACTGTGAAAAGCGCGCCTACTCTCGATCAGAGGAGGAGAACAGCACCGCCTTCTCCTTGTTTCATCTGCTCCAGAAATGAGCTGACAACCACGGAACAGGGCTCCTACTCTTTCCTACAGGTGGGGAGAGGAAGGAGACGGGAGGAGAGCAAGGAGGGGAGGCAGGTGCAGTGAGAGAGGGATGGGCAGCCAGGAGGCAGCAGCCACCCCACGCAGCAAGTGCTCATCAGCAGCCAAACTTCACGGTGGCTCCTGCTGCCAGTGTAGGAAGCTGACAGTGAGGAGGCCCTTTCTGTGTAAGCCATGCAGACTGCGTGTGGAATACCAGGCTTTTCGAACAGTACAAGCGCTGCGTGGGAGGCTCATAAAAGGTTAGAGATATGTTTGTTATTAAACACAATGGGCTAAGTTATGCTGCTGAGGGAATCTACTAGAAATGTTTTGTCTACGGTGAGAATAGAGAGGAACAGGAAATACGGGTCTGATTAAGAAAAGGGCTAGTAATCAACCTTGTGTTGACTTTTCTCTGGCTCTGCTCAGACTGGTGGAAAACGGTTTGTACAAGGATGATGAAATGGTAATGTGCACTTCATGGCAATCAGGAGGACAGGTATAAATAGAACAGGCTCATAAATTAAAAAAAAAAAAAAAAGAATGATTTTACTACCAACTCAAACATTGCTTAAGGAACTGTATCTGTTTATTAATACTCTGGAATTTTCCGCCCGATAGTCCCCTTCCAATTTTCCTTCCAGAGTTCCAGACAAAAAAAAAGTTATGGGGGAAGTGAATTTTTTTAATTTGTGGAATTCTATGTTAACCTTCCACTGGATTCAAAATGCAAATATGACCACTGATTTGAACCCTGAGACTAAAAAACAAGTTGGTTTTATAGAAAACACAGCAAAAATAATTCAGGGCAATGATAATGGCTTCTCAGAACTTGGACTAATCCTGCTGTAGTTTCCCAGGGACACATCCTCAGGGAATTACTGGACCCTAAACTTCAGTTTCCTCGTTGCTATAACAAAGACAGTATCTATCTCACAGAACTGTGAGACTTCGATGAGATTAAGAAGATAATGACTTAGTAAATATCAGGTAGCCTTGTTTTATTACTAATAAAAATTTTAGAAGGCCTGTACAGAACCCGCAATTCTGGCAAAGGTTAAGCCACAGCAAATGCCAAAGAGTACCGTATTATAGAGTCCTATAACTATTTGAAAGACGTTTCAAAATTGTCCCAGTCTTTATCTGGTGCTAGAAGCTTTTTGCTTTCTTTAAGTGGTCATCTAGCCCCAGGGATAGGAGATGACACAGTGTCAGGACACTATCAGAGAGATCTGTTGGGAAATGTCTCTGTGTACTGAGTGTAAATCTAACCTCCTAGAACTCACTCAATACCTTGTCCCATGCAGTGGGTGACACAGAACAGGCCCATATGGCGCCTTTCTGTCACTGATATGACCATCTCTATATTTAGTCTTCTTTAAATGAAGACACCCAGTTCCTTCAACTATTCTTCCAAAGTTGTGT